AACTGGAGACCGTATCATGTCAAATATATATATCTATATAACTATAGTCTTCCTCAGTCTCATATTGAACTTGAGTTGGAAGAGACAAAGCTGGTTTGGTCAAAATTGACAGTCATGATCCAAAGGAACCTGAACACTTGCGAAAAGTGCTTATTGTTGGACTGAGCTTGAGCTTTGAAACTGCGGACAGTAGGCTAAGAGAACATTTTCAGAAATGGGGCACACTCACAGATTGTGTGGTGATGAGAGACGCCCCAAGCACCACTTTCCCGAGGCTTTGGTTTTGTGACTTCTCTGTGATAGGGAGGTGGAGGCAGCAGTGTGTGCCCAGACACACAAGGTTGGTGGCGTGTGGTAAAACGAAGGCGAACTGTGTCAGGAGAGGGTTCTGTAAAGCCTGGTGTCCATTTAACAGTGAAAAAAATCACAATTTTGTTATTGGGGTAAAAGAAGACACAGAAGAATATAATTTGAGAGACTTCTTTGAAAAGTGTAGCAAGATTGAAACCATAGAAGTCTGGGAGGACAGGCGGAGTGGGAACAAGAGGATTTGCTTTTGTAACTTTGGGTGATCAGGATACAGTTGATAAAATTGTTGTTCAGAAATACAGCAACACTATTAGTGGGCATAATTGTGAAGTGAAAACGGCCCTTCAAAACTAGAGATGCAGTCTGCTGGATCACAGAGAGGTCGTGGACGTGGATCTGGAAACTTTAGAGGTGGGAGAGGGAACGTTGGCCGCAGTGGGAGCTTTGGTGGAAGAGGAAGCTAGGGGAGTGGAGGTGGTGGCAGTAGAGGTAGTTATGGAGGAGGTGAGGGTGGATATATGGATTTGGAGGTGATGGTGGCAACTATGCTGGTGGTGCTTATAGTCATAGAAGGGGACTATGGTGGTGATTGTGGTGGAAACCAAGGTGGTAAATGTGGCGGTGGTGGAGGATATAATGGTTACAAAGAAGGAGGAAATTTTGGTGGTTGTAACTATGGTGGTGGGACTATAATGGGGGGAACTATAATGATTTTGGAAATTATAGTGGGCAATATAATCAAATTATGGACCCATGAATGGGGTAGCTTTAGTGGACAAAGCTCAGAAAGTCCTTATGGTGGTAATTATGGATCTGTTGGTGGAATTGGTAGATACAGTAGCAGAAGGTTCTTAAAATTCGGCAGAAAAGGGCTGCAGTTCTTAGCAGGAGAGAGAGTGGGGAGTTGTCAGGAAAACTGCAGGTTACTTTGAGACAGTCAGCCCAAATGCCTTAGAGAAACTGTCAAAATCTACCATGGAAGGAGCATTGATCCACAGTCAGAAAAGTTACCGCAGCTTCAACAGGAAACCCTTTTGGTTCAGGACCGCCATAGCCGCAGTTTGCAAAAAGGGCAGCTACTGATTAATGCAAGGTCGTGTCAGTGAGATATACATTCCTGAGGTCTTTAATCTGCTGTAGCCTTTTCTTTTTCTTTTCATTACATCAGCTTTATTGATTGCCCTGTAAATTATGGTAGTGGTACCAGGAATAAAAAAATTAAGGAATATTTAGCTCTTCAATAATTTGTGTAGTTCAGTTTTTCTATATTTTACTACAGAAACTTTAACAAAATGCAGTTTCGAAGTTGTTTCCTTGTGAGTTAACAAGTAAAGAAGATCATTGTTAATCACAATTTCCTGTGAGTTCACAGGTAAAGAAGATCGTTTTGTAGGAATTTTGCTAAAGAAACACC